CTTGGACTATTTGCTTAGTCTCTTGCAGAGGTTGGTCAGATCTGTGAGAATGTTAAAGTCTAGAGTGCCTTCTGCAGGCCACTGAGACTGATTATCCAATTTATATTGTGGACATGCTATTGTGCAGAAGAAAATGAGCCACTTTTGTTTTATGTCTTGGCTGAGACTTAAAGTCTGGAGATTCGCCAAGAGGCACCCCAGAGGAGATTTTCGGTTTGGTTTGGACTGGGCAGTTCCCATGGTCTCAAGGCGGTCAGTCTGGAGGCAATGGGAGCGTCCTCTCACTGCTACGCAGAGTGCAGGGTACAGTGGCTTCTGGGGAGGTTGAACGTCTCCTAGTCCCTGGTGCCAAGGTCGTAGCTGACCTGAGAGAGCCCCTGATGTGGCCACATGCTTTGGACAGGGACTCCCGGGGGTAGCCTTCAGGACAGGGGGAAACTTACTCAGCAGTGATCGAATTGAGTCAAATTTAGTGAGATGGCTCCAGGCTTGAGGAGGGGATCCCAGCTCGGGGAGAGGAGAGCCCGCCTGACCCAGCATGGGTCTGGGAAAGGGGGGGTCTCCTCCCGGGTTTCAGCACCAAATGTAAAGGTAAACTGAGGCTGGAGCCAAACCAGGAACAAAGATACAAGGCAAATGGCAGTGAGAATAGCCTTTATTAGGACTCATGGGTGAGGTTCCTCGGTCCAAAGGTGCGGGCCAAGGAAGTCATGCTGAGGGAGGAGGGTAAGGGCTTTTTATAGCCTGAGAGGTAGGGAAGCTGGTTGTGCAAACAGGGCCTGGGGGGTCTTGAAACTACTACAGCAGGAGTTGAGTAAGGGTCATGAGGAAGGGGTCCTTGGAAACTGTTAACTGAAACCTCTGTTTACGAACTTGTGGAATGCAGGTGAGCTGCAGGTCATGGGGGAATGTGGTTGCCCAGCCGGAACTCTGACACATGTAAGTCTGCAGGTGTGTACAAGGGTGAAGGGGGTCTTTAACAAAAGGCTTGCTATGCTGGATAACACCACCATGTCAGGTCTAGATTCCTGCCTAACAATTCTACTTCCAACCAACAGCATGTAAGGGGGTTTGACACAGCTCCTGATGCGTATAACCTGTTCAGATATCAAGGTGATATTGGATATGGGTGTTTTGGTATTGGTGTGAAGGAGTCAATACGTAGTGTCCCATATCCTTATTCCTACCAAGGATGCAGCTAATTTCCATAATTTAGGATGTTCTGGGGTAATAAAAGGATGAATCATTTTTGGTCTAGGAGGAACAATGCCTGTGTCCATCCATTTAAAGGGGTAAGGAGACCCCCATTGTCTCAATCTGTATAACTGCCATCCATCCTCTATATAATCTAACAAATAATTAAACTCCGAGAATGAAGTATTTTTGCTGGAGCAATCTTTCCAATAATGCCCTTTTGGAGCCCAATCAATAATAGTACCCACGGCTAAACTTTGGAGCACAACGGCCTTGGGAGCATTCCTATCATTCCATAAAATTGAAGTCACTAGAAAAGGTCCCTTTGTAGGTTTCTCTGGGCAGTCTGGCAGTCGTTTGGTTTTATTACTTTTAGTAGTGACAGGAACTCTCCATTCCTCATGGGGATTAAGTTTGATAATGAGAAGTTGAAAAGAATTGGTACTGAACACATTATGTACCTGATGAGAATCATTTGTAAAGGATGGTACGGTTCACATCCAATTCTGATAAGAGTAAGCTAAACAGCCAGGTGACATCCCAATGCATAGTGGTGGATATTTATAGTCAATTGACAGATTAAAGTGCATACCGTCTTCTTCTGGTTGAGCGGGAAACTTATCATCATTAGGGACTGACATGAAAGCGCTATTACTAGTGTAAACTTCTACTGGGGATTCCACTGAGGAGACAGACCGAATTAAAGAGGGAAAAGGAACATATGCCCAGTAAGTAGAATTTTGAGTTGCCCCCACCGGTGGTACGCTTACCGCTACACAGACTACTATAAAGGCAGTGAGAATTATATTACCAGTCGTTTTTGGGATTCTTTTTTCTTTTAATAAATTTTATGTTGGGTAAGATAAAACCTTTATAAAACCCCATGTTGGTGGAGTTGAGTGAGTGTGTTGTAGGTCACATGGAGAGATTTTGTCTCAGTGTTGGGGTCATGAAGTTTATGTGTCCGGCAGTGAAAGTTGCTCTTTGGTTTCCGAGGGATCTTTGCCTTTTGTTTCTGGAAACGTTTCATCTTTGGAGTTATGGTGCAATTTTAATTGTTGGCAGGGGACCCACACAGGCTGTAGTCCTTTTCCTGGGGAAACACAAGCAAAGTCCCTACCCCAAGTTATAAGGGTCCAGGGAAGAGTGTGTGGGCCCAAATGTGAGTAGTGTAGAAAGGAGAAGACCTTGCTCTGAGCACTGATTGAAACTTTTGAAAAAGAAAAAATAAGTTATCATCAGGCAAAATTTGGTTGAGGCAGTTTCAATGTTGTGAGCAACATGTACTACATACGCTGAGTCAGACACAATGTTAGCTGGTTTAGGGAAATCTTCAAGGACGGCCATAACAGCAAGCAGCTCAGCTCATTGTGCTGAAATAGCTCCTGTGTGGAGAACACGTTCTCTTGGCCCCGTATATGCTGCTCAGCCATTAGAGGAAGCCTCAGTGAAAACAGTGACAGCTTCAGCTAAGGAGGTATTTCTAGTAATGTTAGGTAAAATCCAAGAAGTGAGTTTAAGGAACTGAAATAATTTTACATTAGGATAGTGATTATAAGTTATACCCGAGAAAGCTGCCAAATGTACTTGCCAAGCAATGCAAGTGGCAAAAGCCTGTTGAACTTGTCATCTGGTGAGGGGAACAATATTTTTCAGGGAGCTCTGTACCCATAAGACAAAGGAGACGAGAACGTGCCTGGCAATTTAACAGAAATTTGATCTAGGTAAATAGTTAGTGTCCATAAAGAGCTGTGTGGAAGAAAACACCATTCAATTAAATTATGTCCCTAAATAACGAGTCCTATTGGTGAATACTCAATAGGAAAGATTAGTATTTCAAAATGTAAATGTGGATTCACTCTGGTAACCTGAGACTGTTGAATGCATTTTTCTGTAAGCTGTAGCTCAGAACCTACCTCAGGAGTCAAGGACATTTTGCTGTGTAAATCAGGATTGCCCCATAAGGTCGCAAGAAGATTAGACATAGCATATGTAGGCATGCCTAAGGAGGGATGAATCCAATTTATGTCTCCCAGTAATTTCTGGAAATCATTTGGAGTTTTAAAGGAGTCTCATCTAATTTGAACTTTTTGAGGCTTAATGACCTTGTCTTCCAGCTGCTTTCCTAAATAGTGATGAGGGAAAGCAGTCTGAATTTTTTCTGGGGCAATAACCAAGCCAGCAGCTGCAACTGCTTGTTGTAATGCAGAAAAACAAGATATTAATACAGAGCGTGAAGCTGCCATGAGATCAGCCACCTGCTGAGTAAGATCAGTGGCCTGTGGCTGATTTTGTGCCACAGGGACGGCAGGTATTGGAGACCATAAAATTACAGGAAATTGCCAGGCTTCGGGATCCCCATATTCTCTTGCCTGTGCTATAGCCCTCGTAAACAGAGTGTCATTTTGAGGGATGGATGTAACTTGTTGCTTGTGAGCAGCAAGGGTAGATGAGATTACCTGCTGAGCAGATCTTTCATGGGCCTCATAGCCAGGCTGCCATGGCAACTGTGGACCAGGCTTCAAGGGAGCCTGTGACTCTAACGGAGTCTGAGTAGCAGAAAAGGAACCAGGCCTCAAGGGAGCCTGTGACTCTAACCAAGTCTGAATAGTCTGAGTAGAAGGAAAAGAACCAGGCCTCAAGGGGGCCTGTGACTCTAGCCGAGTCTGAGTAGTAGGAAAGGAACCAGGCTTCAAGGGAGGCAAAAATACTTCATTATTGGAGTTTAATTATTTGTTAGATTATATAGAGGATGGATGGCAGTTATACAGGTTGAGACAATGGGGATCTCCTTACCCCTTTAAATGGATGGACGCAGGCATTGTTCCTCCTAGACCAAAAATGATTCATCCTTTTATTACACCAGAACATCCTAAATTATGGAAATTAGCTGCATCCTTGGCAGGAATAAGGATATGGGATACTAGGTATTAACTCCTTCACACCAATACCAAAACACCCATATCCAATATCACCTTGATATCTGAACAGGTTATACCCATCAGGAGCTGTGTCAAACCCCCTTGCATGCTGTTGGTTGGAAATAGAATCATCACTCCTAATACACAAACTATAGAATATGATAACTGTAAGCTATTTACATGCATTGATGCTACTTTTAATCCCACAAGAAGTATTCTCCTGGTAAGGGCTAGGGAGGTGGTGTGGGTAACAGTTGCTTTACACCATCCGTGGGAGTCTTCCCCCTCTATTCACATAGTCAAAAAAGTTCTTAAAGGTATCCTCAAAAGAGCAAGGAGATTTATTTTTACTCTTATTGCAGTCATTGCAGGTCTAATGGTAGTTACTGCAACAGTAGCAACTGCTGGATATGCCATCCACAACTCTGTTCAAACCGCTCAATATGTTGAAGCATGGCAGAAAAACTCCTCCAGACTTTGGAATTCTCAGGCTCAAATGATCAAAATTAATCAATCAAATCATTAATCAAATTAATGATATCCGCCAAAGTGTAATCTGGCTGGGAGATGGAGTTATGAATTTGGAACGTGGTATGCAATTGCAGTGTGATTGGAATACTTCTGATTATTGCATAACGCCTTATGCTTATAATAAAGATCAGCATTGCTGGGAAAAGGTCTCAAGACATTTAAAAGTCTGGGATGATAACTTAACCTTGGATATTTCAAAACTTAAGGAGCAAATTTTCCAGGCTTCACAAGCTCATTTATCTACTGTTCCTGGCTCAGACATTTGTGAAGGAATAACTAAAGAATTATCTGATCTTAATCCCTTTAAATGGATCAAACTCCTCGGAGGATCATTGTTGTCACTGGCATTATTGATATTGGTATGCTTATGTTGTCTCTTTTTAGTCTACAGATGCCTCCAAGGAGTCTGAAAACAAGTCTGAAGTCAATGACAAGCAATGATGGCGATGGTGATCCTAGGTAATACAAAGTGGGGAGATGTGGGTGGCAATTCACCTAGCTGCCGTGTCCAGAGATCAAGGGCAGGAGCTGTTCCAGTGTAATGAAATATATCAAATAAGAATACTTACACTAGATATAGATAATAGATATGATTATATAATAGATATGATTATATATGAATATCATTAATTATTAGTTTGTAGCAATTACTCTTTATTCCAATATTATAATAATCTTTGCTCTACAATTACAACTTAGGAAAAACCAGACCATACAGAGATAGGAGCTGAGGGGACATAGTGAGAAATGTCCAGAAGACAAGACTGTGAGCCTTCTGTTATGTCTGGGCAGGATCACCAGAGGGCTTCTTGGTCTAGCAGTAATGCCAGTGACTGGGAAGACGTCTGTTGCCAAGTGGACCATGGTCTAGAGGTAGCGTCAGTGTCAAGGAAAAACACCCACTGCTTAGCAGACTGGGAAAGGGAGTCCCCCTTTCCCCAGAGGAGTTCAGAGAAGACTCCACTCCTCCACCTCTGATGTCAGGCCCACCTGCAGTTATCCAGAGGCCTAACCGTCTCCCTGTGATGCTGTGCTTCAGTGGTCATGCTCCTAGTCCGCCTCATGTTCCATCCTGTACACCTGGCTCTGCCTTTTAGATAACAGTAGCAAATTAGTGAAAGTACTAAAAACCTCTGATATGAAGAAAAAATGGCATAGGCTGTGTCCTCTCTCTCTCTCTCTCTCTCTCTCTCTCTCTCTCTCTCTCTCTGCCTCCACTGCCAAACAGGGAAGGACTCCCTGTCCAGTGGACACGTGACTCATGTGACCTTATCAATCATTGGAGATGACTCTCACTCCTTACCCTGCTCCTTTTGCCTTTTATCTAATAAATAACAGTGCAGCCAGGTATTCAGGGCTACTACCAGTCTCTATGTCTTGGTAGTAGTGGTCCCCTGGGCCCAGCTGTCTTTTCTTTTATCTCTTTGTCTTGTGTCTTTATTTCTACAATCTCTCATCTTCGTACATGGGGAGAAAAACCCACCAACCCTGTGGGGCTGGACCCTACAGGTATAGATAGCATTTATTTCCATTCTCGGCAGGGATGTCTGCCAGAAACAGGGAGTACCTGAGAAGGAGCCAGTTGTCCCATACACATGAGGAATTCTCAGCCATGTTAGGTGACAACCACGAGCATTTTCACTCTGGTTAGACGGGACTCTGGATGGGTGTATAGGAAAATTCTAAGGGAGTCAAATAGGACATTACAAAGATTTATTCATTTGCCCAGGGAGCATTTATTGTGTTAAATTATGTGGAGAACACCACACAAAGAGCAATTAAAGTGAAAATTATTAAGGCATTACCTTTACTTCAGGAAACTCACCCTAGTCAGATTCTCTGAGCCCCAGAACTTAATAACAACCTAGTGAAAGCTTGTTCAGACTGGAGAGTGGGTGGGGGAAGGAAAACAAGGTTAAAAATTAGGCTGGGTGGATGAGATAATTACCCCTGATAATGCACTGGAAGTATGGATAAGTTTGGGATGGGTGAAAGCAAAAGAGTCTCAGCAGAGGGTGCAGAAAAAAAGGGCAGAAACCCAGGAGGCTTATGCACGAAGAGGGATGAGTTTGCTGGACAGGGGAGAGTGACAGTAAAAACTAGAGAATAATAGGCCTCTGTGGTCATCTGGGGACTGTGGAGTGGACTAGTTTGGGGTTACAGAATCAGTGAAGAGTAGAGTGGGTAAATAAGAGCTATATTATGGAAAAATTCTGTAGCAATGGTGGTTAGGAGGAATAGAAACTTGAAGTATTACATAAATATGCTTTCTTTCTATTATCTCACACAAGCCGTTAGCCTTTCCCCTTAAACTGAGAAAGGAGTGGTTTTCTAAGATGTTTTTAAATTCTTACAGGCAAGCACTGCTCTTTGCTGCCTTTTAGTAAAGGTTTGTTTTAACCAAATCAGAGAAGATTGAATGGATTTTCTTGCTCACAATGGTTCATTGGAACAACTCATATCTTTTACTAGTTTTCAGAACATTTAATGTGATGCTCCTGATAGTCCAAAAGCATTCCCTTGGGCTGAAAGAAACCAGCATTGATGGAAATAATTGATTGAGTGTCAATACTCCATGGAAGGGTGCTCCACTTGCTAAGGCTCCCTCCTCTGCGCTAGGCCTTCTACACCATGGGTATCCTGTTGAGGTTGGAGCTGGAGCTTGGAAGGAGCTTGGTGGGTCTTCCCAGCACACAATAATCACCCAATTAGCCTGGCCAGAATCAAGCTGCTCCCTCTTACCATTTCTTTCTCCATTTGTCCCTTGTTGGGAATGGAGAGTTTTGCAATTGAGTTCAGCACAGGGTTGAAGTTCAAATCTCAGCTGATACTTGATGCATGTTTCCTTTTCTGAGAGGAACCTGGGAGAATAAAGCATTGCAAAGGTCATGGTCAGGCACAGTGTCTCATGCTTGTATTCCTGGCATATTGATAACCCGAGGAGATAGAATTGCTTGAGGTCAGGAATTTAATACCAGCCTTGTCAACATATTGAGACTCCATTTATACAAAAACACTTTAAGCATTAAAAAAATTTAGCCAGGTGTGATGGTTTCCAACTGTAGTCTCAGCTACATGGGAGATTGAGGCAGAGGATCACTCGAGCCCAGGAGTTCTAGGCTGCAGTGAGCTATGATCACGCTACTGCACTCCAACCTGGGCAATCATGCAAGATGTTTCAAAAATAAAATCTTTTATTATTCTTCACCCCTATAATCTGTTCAGAATTTACTGCTGCTTGGCTGCCTCCTCATTTTGGATAAAGTTAGAATCCCTAGGTGAAACGGAGTTTCTCTCCAGCAGAGGGTCTCACCAGGTCCCCAGGACTGGCACTTTAAGTGGAGGCTTGCCTTTCAACGTCTGGGTAATGATTGACGCTAAAATTGAGAAAAGTTTTCCAGACACCAGCTTCCTGAAAGGAGCATCTGGTCAGAAGACGTTGTGGTCAGTGGTGAAGGTAACCCAGGCTGACTGGGGAAGTCCACCAGCACATCTGAAGACTGAGCTAGGGGAGGGTTTCCCTGATGTTCACTCCTTCTGCTCTCCATACATTCCTCTACTTTTCCCAAACTTCCCTCTGATGTCCTCCAAACTTTCCAACCTCCCAGGGATTTTTTGCCAGGGAGTCTAATAAAGTAAAAGCTTTAAAATTGCTTTGATTTAAAAAATAATTTTATTGATTATTAAAATGTCCTAACATAAAATTCGAATATCCGTTCTTGAAATGTTTAAAAAGTAAATTAAGTATAAGTTTACATTTAATTAACTTATTTGATTCCTAATTAAAATTAAAAAAAAATTTGAAACCAGGTCTTGCTCTGTCACCAAGGCTGGAGTGCAATAGTGAGATCTTGGGTTATTGCAACCTCCACCTCCTAGATTCAAATGATTCTCATGCCTCAGCCTCCCAAGTAGCTGGGACTACAAGTACACACCACCAACTGGCTAATTTTTGTGTTTTTAGTAGATACCATGTTTTGCCATTGTGCCCACACTTGTCTCAAACTCCTGGTCTCAAGTGATTCACCCAGCTTTGCCTCCCAAAGTGCTGGGATTACAGGTTTGAGTCACTGCACCTGACCTAAAAAGTTTTTTAAATTATAGGTAAATTTAAATTACTCAGAAATAGCCAGAATTAACCCTTGAATACCCTGAATCATTTTCTCATGCATAAGCCTTTCTAATCTTTCTATTTAAATTTAGGACTTTACTCAGTTCTAGTGTTTTAAAACCTGGTTTTGTCCTTTGAAGAAATGTAGACCATTTCACAGGCCAATGGACATCATGGACTTTCTGATGTTTAGTGCCTGCCTGGCTGTTTATCTATGACCTCCCATAATGTATTTAAGTAACACCCTCTTGATTATGGGGTTAAGTAGTTGAAATTACATTGTCCTTTCTGAAGCACTGCATGGACAAAATTAGATCTTGAAAGAAACACACAGACCCGTACCACACCCTTCCTTTGAAATTGTCTACTGCTTATTTAAAAAGCTGTTTATTCCTGACTAAGGTCCTACATTACACCCTCAAAAATTTTTGGAAACTATAAAAGTACAAGAGAACCAATAAAGCAATTTAATTTATCACAGAATCCTGCTTCCTATAAGCAACACCTCAATTCTTGTAATTTGGCATATTTCCTCTCGGTCATTTTTCTATACATTTTAAATTTTGAGCTGTAATTTATAAGTTTGGTTATACTTTTTAATGTATGCATTTAATTAATATGTTTAATGGTATATCATCTCGTAAGCACTTCCCCATGTCATAAAAAATTCTTTGTACAACCTATTTTGAATATATGTCTGTAGCTCCAAAGAACAGGCATACCTTGTTTACTCTTCTAATCCTCTATTATTGGAAAATTTTGTTTTTCCAATTCTTTGAGATAATAAATTGGTTAGAGTTAGTATTTTGGTCCTCATTTAAATTTTCTAAGAGTTTCCTTTCTGTAAGTGGCTAAATGACTGCTAGAAGGAGAAGAGCCCTCTTGCAGGGGTGTGTCCTGGGGTTGAGGCCTTCCTGCAAAGTGCCATCCTTGTGGCAGGTCCCCATGTGTCTTTCTAACATCAGCACAGTCAGACTGAGTGTGCTTGGAATTCTGCAGCTGTGACCCCTCTCGAATCTTCCTTGAAATCAGGTGCAAATTATCTCCTCCATGGTGGACACCAGGAAGTAGGTTGTAGAGCATTCTGTGACCCTGAAGAATGACACGATGTCCTTGATAAAGAAAGTGAAAATTCCTGAAGGAGAAATAATGTTTTCTCAACAGCAGAAGTAGATGAAGAAGCACATTTGCTCCTCTGCTAGAATCAGAGAAATAACTTAGCCCACTGATAGTGTCTCAAAATTATGTAAGTCATTCTATCAGAAGCCTGTTTCTAAGAGTACTTGGCACAGCTATTTCTGTGGGTCTCTAAGACATTCTTATTTTACTGAAGACAAATCCCTGTGGCCTGGAGCTGATTTGTGAGCACTTTTAGAAAAACAGTAGAGTACAACCAAAACTATGTACTAATGAAAAAGTAAGCTATGCCTACAGAGATGTAGTTAGTTGATATCACTAAAATGTTGTTTTATATAATGCAAACAGCACTAACACTTTGACAAACAGATCTGTATTATGAACAGTGAGGGTACTCACAAATTTTTTTAAATCTTTGAACAATTTCTGGATTATTTATGTTAATAACAATTATGTAAAAAATTTAACCTAGAAGAATCTAAGCTTATGTCTGATTATTTAATATAACAAAATGCAAAATAGGCAAATTTCCATTTATGATAGTAGGACATAAACACTTTGTTCTGATACAAATATCAAACAGAAAATGTAAGTAAGAAATAGAAAAACAATGACCTGTACATGTTGATTATATGTGTGTACATTACTATGCAAAATTACATTATTTTTAGTAACTTAGATTATGTAAATATTTATTATATTTTAAGCAACAACAAATATTAACACATTTTTTAAATGTGCGGCTTAGATAATAGTTGATGATTACAATTTATAAATATTAGCTATTTACAACAAATGGTTACTCAAAAAGAAATTCTAAAAATAATTTCATATTAACTTTGAAAATTTTAAACTCTTTTCTACAGAAGTTTTTAAATTACAGATAATAAAATAGCAAGTTTATAAAAAAAGAAAAGCTATTGAGAAATAGTTGGATTTTGATTCATTAACTTTTCTGAATTAGTAGTACTTGGAAGTTCACTGTTCATAATTCCAATAGGCTACACAAATTTCCTCTTCAGGAAAATGGCAAAACAGAAGACATTCAACTTTTAAACATCTGATGCAATTTTATTACCTTTTTTTCTACATAAATGACATAAAATTTAGACCAATAAAAACAGAATTTCTTCCATGAAGTTTCAAGAGCTGAGTTGAGCTGGGAAGAGCTAAAGTGCTTGGTATCAGAGTTTTAAATTAAAGCAAGAACCCCATATCAAAGTAATAATAGTTAAGCCTTTTTCTATTCCTTTCTGTGATTGTGTTAAGCAACAGGCAAAATCAGATGAAGCACCGACTCCTCATTATTCCATTTTTTCCTCATGGAAAAGCACCACGAAAGGGTCAGATGGATCCGTACAAACATGGGGCATGGTCTCACTCCTGAGGTGGCCCCCTCATAAAAAACAGGCCTGCAATTTTGTGGAAAAGGGGCAGGAGAGGGTAGAGGAGAATGTATGAGCAAGAGTTAAAAAGTATTGAGTATTAAGTAAGAATATATAAAAATTATTATCAAAGTCTCATTCCTTCTCCAGAAACAGGGATCTGAACAAAAGTTTCTGAGGAAGGCCTCAACCAAAAGCCCCTCAGGAAGGTGCCCCTGAATCTAGATGCCTGGATGGGGAATGAAAATCTACATGTGAGCCTCAGTGGCCAAGAGGGCCTGTATTATTTATTTCAACCCCTCAGAGGCTGCAATGCATTGACATTCATATGCTTCTCCTAAATGCACATGTCAGCAGGAGTGTGACAATCAATGCTTTCAAAGATATAATGTGGATATCAGAATTTCTGGCAAAAATTTAGATAATCGTATCTTTTCAACCTCAAAAATCATATATGCTGAGAAACTTCAAAGGCATGTGTCTCAACAAACAATTTTTCAGGAAAGAACTAAAGAAGCACAGCTGTAGAACAAAAACTAGACTAGAAGTTGATGCTACCTGTGGAAATTTCTAATAACGGAAACACAGGTTGTTAGAATTTGACATATCTGATGGGTGAATAAAATGTCACAGATGCATAGATATTTGGATCTGACTATGTTATCTAAAGCTAGAATCCTTACATTTTCAAAAGTTTAGAAAAAATTGGTTAGAGTAGTTAGTGGAGGTGGTATTTCTCCTCTTTGGTTGATTTGGGAATTAACACCAATCCTCATAATAGTTTCTGGTTCATATGTACACCATGTGTTTTAATCATGAAAATTTAGGTAAATACATTGAGTTACTCTCTTTCAGGTGTCTGTAAAGGGAGCATTATTAACATTACAGAAAAATTTTAACTGGAATAAAATACCTCGACACAGAATCTTCAATGGTCCCATCAATTGAGGTCAGTCATTTATAATCAAATGAAATCTACTATTCTTTTTAAAATATAAAAAGTAAAAGTCATCAAGATCAAAGTTATTCAGAAACAAAATAATAATCCAAACACAGCTGTACCATTAGATCTTAATAAATCCCAAAATTGTATATATAGTGTAGAAATAACATAAGTAGTTATAATGTTTAAATATGTTAGAAGAAAAGTTTAAAAGTAAGATAAAAATAAAGCATATTATCAAAATAATTAGGTGAAAATTTTAAATGAAAAAATAATATTTCAAATGTAAAGGATAGATAAATAGAAAAATTACATAAATGAAAAAAGAAATTATCAATTAGAAGGTAAGATGAAGTGAATATTTAGAAGTCACAATAGACATAAAACAAACAAACAATATGAAAAATGAAAATACATGAAAAACTAGAATAAGTGGTGTTGTTTAAGCACAAGTTTAAATAAGTAAAATGAAGTTAATGTCAAATAGGGAATAAAAAATATATAATTATTAAAATAAATAATTATAATAGCTTAAAGGTATGCTTATCAAAAGAAAAACAATAGTTAAAAGCATAACACCAAAAAGAGAAAATCACGTAAAGCCATCTAAGATAAAATTCAAATTAATTAAAAAGCAATGAAAACAAACCTATTTCTCAATATGTGAATAAAATCAAAAATCCAATAGATTATGGTTTTCAAAGTTCTGAGGGAAAAACATGTAAATTTAAAATTACATATATTTCAAAATTTGCTGTCAGGATTGAGGACAAAATGTAACTTAATACACAAAACAATGTAAATTGTATATATTTACCTTAGTGAAATGCGTTTAAAATTTTCTGAAAATGTAGTTTATGAAGAGAAATACTCTTCCTGAGAACAAAAACTGAGATCAAATAAATGTGCAAACATCTAAATAGATCTAAACTATATTAACATTGTGTCAAATTATACACAATGTGTGATATATCTATATGAAGCACATTTATGGAAGAATAAAAGACAATGTTATCCCAAGGGTTATAATAAATAAAAGAGTAAATTTGGTAATAGATGAGTAACTTATTTTATATCAGTATGATGTATATTTAAGAGATTTCTGTCACTAGATTCTTGAATATTGAGTGCAAATCCTATATACTGTTTTAACAATACTCACTATTATTTTCTCAGCAAAGATTGGCACTGAAAGACTGACTCCTACATAGCCAGTGACCACAGCTTCTGGAACAACAAAAGTATTAAATCATTTATCCTGAATATGGTCAATGAGCATGAGATGAAGAAATCTACCCAGTACGTGACCACAAAGCAACTCAAAAGCAGCTGGATGGTCTGGGTAGCTTATTTCTCTGGAGAGACTCTTAGAGAGTGGCTGCTGCTATAGCGATGCTGAGACTGCCTTTTGTGCCTGGAGGAGATAATTACTGTGCATTTGAGAGCATCAGTGTTCCTCCAGAAGAGACATTTCTAAATGCTGCTAGTGTGAAAAATGAGCTTATGTTCATGTATCCCCTGGGGGAAGGAAAACAGAAATAAACAAGAAAAATAATGCTTGCCCAGGTTACATTTGATTTAGCATTAGTGGGATAGAGTCAATCACTACTAATACAGAAGTTGAAAATCCATGAGAGGAACACAAAACGTAGTGGATAACTTAGGTGGGTGAGTTTGAAATTTGCCAAACAGTAGGTTCTGGGATTAATGGCAATCATTTGTAATATGCTCAAAGAGCAAGTGGTGCATATGAAGAAGCTCCTCATTACCATGTTAAGGTAGACAGCAGGCTTCTATTTGAGGCCACTCTAGAGAACATCTTCCCAATCTATGTCTGTAGAGAACAAGTTTGCCATGGTAGGAGCATCACTATGTAGATGAATGCCTAGTTAGTGATGCTCTGGTCACAGTACCTGGGCCTGTAACCCAAAAAGCATGCAAAAATCCAGAAGAGAGGAAGGAAGATGACAGAGATTCCAATGCTATGGAATAAAAAGCACTTTTATGGCACTATTATTTGAAGATGTGCTCTTTATCAGAAAAGTAAATGCATATCTGGAAAAACAAGAGAACAAACAAAATCTCTTTTTAGGAAATCTCTGTGATTATGTCAACCAGGACCACCACTCTCCTCGGTGTCGACCATCATGGTTACCTCAATCAAAAATGCCTGAGTCATCCTTAGCAACCCCATGAGTACCATCCCCCCAGCCTGCTCATTCCTTCACTTCCCATTAGCATCAAATCTGCAATGATGCCATTGAAGCTCCCTCTTTTTGGGCTTTCATTATCTTCACACTTCCTAAGCAATTGTAAGTACCACGTGTCCTGGAAGTTTATAGTTTATTTGTATATCTTCTCTTAAATTCCACAAGATTATGGACAACGACTTATGAACATTTTATCTGCATACCTGGTACAGTGTTAGGTTAATGCTTTTCAAAAAGGTGAATGACTAGAGATAAGCAGACAATCTATTGGTCAGCCTTTTTCACTCTACTAATTAATATGAAGTGGAGAGAATTTATAATGTGTAATTGAGCAAACTTTCTTCATCAAAGTTTTTAATAAGAGCAGTAATCTATTTATGAGGATAGAGCACTCCTGACCTAAACACATCCCAAAAGACCACACCTCCCATACTGTTGCTGTGAAGATTAAGTTTCAACATAAATTTTTAAGGGAAACAAAAACATGAAAACCATGCCTCATGTCCCTATTTTTTTCTTCCACACAAAATACAATCATTCCATCTACTAGCTTTTGTAATTCTTAGCTCATTCCAGAAACAACATTAACATGTAAGTTCAAAGTCTTGTCTAAACCTCATATGGATGAAATTCAAGGTATAAGTAATTCTAATGCAAATTTTTCTTTACCTGTGAATCTATGAAACCCAACATGTTATGTGTTTTTGAAATATAACGTCGGGAAAGGCAAAGGACAGACATTGCTGTTTCAAAGGGAGAAATAGGCAAGAAGAAATAAATAACAGTTCCCAAGTGTGCTATAAAAATAGCAACAACAAGGCAGGCCATGCACGATGTCTCATACCTGTAATCCCAGCACTTTGGGAGGCCAAGGCAGCTGGGTCACTTGAGGTCAAGAGTTCGAGATCAGCCTGGCAATATAGTAAAACTCTGCCTGTACAGAAAAAAAAAAAAAAAAAAAAAAAAGTTAGCCAAGCATGGTCTCATGCACCTTTGGTCCCAGCTACTTTGGAGGCTAAAGCAAGAAAATCACTGTAGCCCAGGGGGCAGAGGTTGCAATGAGCTGAGAGCACACCACCGCACTCTACCCTCGGCAACAGAGTGAGAATCCATCTCAAAATTAATAAATAAGTAAATAAAAATAATGGACAAAAACTGCTCAAATTTGAAAAAAGAAATGGACAAACAAACTCAAGAATTTTAGTGGACTTTGACCAGCATAAATTTAAAGAAAACCAAAGTGAGGCACAATATAAAACTGTTAAATATCTCATAGAAAAAATTTTCAAAAATTTCAAGAGAAAAAAATTAAACACATACAATTCAGTACCACTAATACTATCAACAGATGTCTTTAAAGATATTTTGCAGTTCAGAGTGTGGGATGATAATATTCAAGTACAAAAAAAAAAAAGAAAATTACCAACCAAGAACTTTGTATATGGCAAAACTCTCATTAAACATGAAGGTGAAATTACGATTGTTTTCAGATAAACTAAAGCTGAAGGAGTTTTTGACCACTAGGTTTGTTCTTCAAGAAATGTTAGAAAGTCCTTTGAGATTAAAAAATGAACGTACCAAAAAAACCATACAAAACTATAAAGCTTTGTCGTAAAGTAAATATATAGAGAAATATAGCATCCTCTATTATTGTGATGTTGGTAAGTAAATTTAATTCCCTCATGGAATTTGACAGAAAATATACAAAAATATTATATATGTATGTTAAATAATACACCATATAAAAAGGCCTAATTTGTGACATCAAGAGCAAAGTGTGTGTTGGGAAAGACGGTCATGTAGAAGACTGGAGTTTTTATATGCTACTGTAGATAACATCAGATTAAAATAGATTGTTATAACTTTGAGACATTTCATGTAATCTGTATAGTAATCACAAAGATAATACATATAGAATATACACAAAAGAAAAAGAAATAAAAACATGTTAGTACAAAAATTAGACAAACAGGAAGACAGCAAGAAATAGAACAAATAAATAAAAGAACTACAAAAGACACATAAAACAATTAGAAAAATAGCTATAGTAACTCCTTAACTGCAAATAATAACCTTATATGTTACAATGTTAAATTCTCCAATAATAGATACAAGGTCACTGAAAAAATAAAAATATAAAATCAAATAAATTCTGTTTATAAGATGCTCACCTTTTATTTAAAGATAAACATGGGCTGAAAGTGCAGAGATGGAAAATTATATTTTATATGGTAACCAAAATCTGTTTATAAGAGGCTCACCTTTTATTTAAGAATAAACATAGGCTGAAAGTGCAGGGATGGGAAATTATATTCTATATGGTAACCAAATAATCCTAAATAGCAACCAGAATAGAACAAATTTCATCACATTTACATTAGATGACTAGACTTTAAGCAAAAATCCATCATAAAGACAAACAAGGACATTGTAAAAGAAAAATAAATCGCCAAGAAGATATCATAATCAAAATATGCACATGTATCAGCAACGATTTCAAACATATAACACAAATAATGACAGAATTAAAAGGAGAAATAGGTTGAGTACAGTGGCACATGCCTGCTTGTAATCCCTGCATCTTGACGGGGGCTGAGGCAGGAAGATGGCTTGAGCCCAGGAGTTGAGATTAACCTGGGCAAGATAGCAAGACTTCATCTCTATTAAAATATATATAATGTATATATAATAAAATATATATACATAAAATATATATACATAAAACTAAAGAGAGAAATGGACACCACCACCAAAATGATAGGAGACTTTAATAATGAAGTGGACAACCTGGCAGACCAACATGAAGACAGAGGATTGAGCAAGGAGAGATTCAACCAAATCCAACAGACATAGAGAAACGGTCTTCTCAACAATAGAATGCACATGCTGGTGCGCACATGGAACATTCCTCAGACTATATCACAAATCGGACCGCAAAGAAATCAATTCAAGAAAACTAAAATCATACGAAGTATCATTTGCAACTAAAATGGGATGGAACTAGAAATGAATAGCAGACAAAAAATTTAAAAATTTGCAAATACGTAAAAGTCAAGTAACATGCTCCTAAACAACATTATGGGTTAAAGAAGAAGTCACAGTGAAAATTTCAACATAACTGGAAACAAAAAGCATAGCAAAATTATTGAATGCATCTAAAGCTTGTATTCAATTGTAGTAGTAAATGTGTACATTTAAAAAATCAATGTCTGCCAGGCGCTGTGGCTCACGCCTGTAATCCCAGCACTTTGGGAGGCTGAGGCCGGTGGATCATGAGGTCAGGAGATCAAGACCATTCTGGCTAACATGGTGAAATCACGTATCTACTAAAAAAATACAAAAAATTTAGCCGGGCATGGTGGCGGGCGCCTGTAGTCCCAGCTACTCAGGAGGCTGAGGCAGGATGAATGCATCCAAAGCTTGTATTCAATTGTGTGCAGGTAATTGTGTACATTTAAAAAATCAATGTCTGCTAGGCGCCAGGTTTGACGCGCCTGTAATCCAGCACTTGGGAGGTTGAGGCCAGGATCATGAGGTCAGGAGATCAAGACCATTCTGGCTAACATGGTGAAACTGCTTATCTACTAAAAATACAAAAATTTAGCTGGCATGGTATGTGGCGCTGTAGTCCAGCTACCCAGGAGCTGAGGTGGTGGATAATGGTGTGGGAGAACCTGGGAGGCGGAGCTGCAGTGAGCTGAGATTGCACTCTACCGCAGACCCTGACTGCAGGCAACAGAGTGAGATCTCCATCTTATTATCATGACACACACACAAACTATCTCAAATCCACTACTACATGTAACCTAAACACAAGTGTGAATAATGTGACAGTAATGAGTTGCCAAATGAAAAGCCATGGAAAATAATGAAATGCTATTTTACTATGAAAAACATACACAAAGTAGTGAAGATATTCAAAATATTCAATTAGAAACACAAAGAGGAATTATGACTACTGACTCACAAAAGAGGAAAGAAGAGATTGCAAAAAGCTGTCTAAGTATATACAAAATTTAGTTGAGTAAAAGAGCTTAGAGACAATGTCAGAAATATAGATTATAATTAAAAATAAAAACTATAAAAAAATCTGAATAGACATCTAACTAGCACCAAATTATCCCCCCAAAGCCCATGCAAAGATCACTTTATTAAATTTTTTTTTCAAAAATGTTAAATTAGAGTTAACATAAGCCCTTCTAAAACTACTAGAAAAATGATAACAGAAAATACCTTTAAATAGCTTAAAAGTGAACTATACAATATCTTGATCAACTACAAAGATGATTAAAAAAAGGCAATCATAGATGATTTTTCCTGATGATTATTGATAAAATTTGGAACATTAGA